AGGAGAGCCTGGAAAAGGAAAAGTTGGAGTTGGTTCATACGGACCTGCGAGAACCAACTTTTGTATCGACCCTTGGAGGCTCATAGTAGTACCCCGTGGTCATTGACGACGTTACAAGGGAGGTATGAGTATATTTTTTTAAGTGTAATTATGATGCTTTTGATACCTTTAGAAGGTGGAAAGCACATGCAGTGGGAGTAGTGAGCCGATTTATGAGCAATCCTGAAAGACAATCTAAGGTGGTGACCTTAGATGAATTGAGGTTGTGTTCAACCTCAATGGGCCTCGATGAGTGAAGAAGGAGGCTTGGCGTTGTCATTGCGGATGGAGTAAAATATTGAAGTGGAAGATGAAATCAGTCTTCAAGTGGGAGATTGTTGGGATATGAAGCCTGATTATATCCTAAAATCTAGGGATATGATTTAGATATTATATTCTAGATTTTAGAGATATGATTTAGATATTATTGACATAGGTTTAGCCTATAAATATCCATGTATTCTCACTTTAACATGTATATGTGTACTTTATAGTAGAATTCCTGGCTTGGTAGCGGCCCCAGATGTAGATCATCGTGATCGAATTGGGTTACCAAATTCTTGTGTTCTTTTGTCTTTGTTATCTCATCTTAATTTCCTGGGAATTTCTGTAACAAATATAAATATTTATTTTTTTATGAGAGAGATAAAAATAAAAGAATTTTGAGTGATGATGTATGATTTTATATGTTAGTTAGTTAATTAAATTGATTTATATTCGTTAAATATGTTTTGATTTAGTAAATTTTACCCAAAATAAAAATATGTTAAATGTTATGAAACGGAAAAAAATAAAAAATATGTCAATTTATAGGAGATGGAATATAACAAAAATATATTACTGTTGAGCACAAAAATATAGAATTTGGGTTTGAGTTAGGAAGGATAAATGGATAAACCCAATGGCGATCCAGTGGTGAGCCAGAGTCATTCGGTCAGATGGTTGTTGGGGCTAGGCCGGTCGGATGGTTGGCCCTACGGACAGTTTTCATCCGAGTGTGGGCCTTGGGACGGCTGGTCGGTAGGTCACTGACTAAGAAGCGATTTCGGACGGTTCAAATCAGTAACCGATTAAGAAGCGATTTCAGAAGGTTCAAATTAGTAACCGACAAGAAAATGATTTTTTACAGTTTGTAACCGACGTGAAGACAACTTTTTGGGCGGTTCAAGGGTAACCGCCATGGAAGTGGTTATAAACGGTTTAATTTGATACGTATATAAGCAACCTCAACAATTGAGATGAATATCTTCAATCAGACAAAATTACAAGAAAATTTCATTGGAATTATTATTCTATTTTTAGTTATCATTTTCGACTTTCTTTTTTCTTTTTGTTTGAGGATTTATAGTCCCAGGATTTATAGTTCAAGTTCGAAATATATTTTTCAATTCTACTTTTTATTGTTGAAATCATCATCAACAACTATTTTTTTTTTTATTACGTACAATATGTGTTAACTATTTTTTTTTATGACGTGGGAACCCGCAGCCACTGCCACAATATGTATTACTATTAATCTCATGAAACAAAGTTTTAGGTATAAAATAAGAGCATGTATGATAACAATTTACATATATCACGTTTTTGATTAAACGCTAAGTAAATTTTTTTCTTTTTAATGCACGCACACCCTCAAACCCCAACGGAATTTCACCCAACACATGCAGACAAACTCGCACCCATCCAGGATGGGTAATAAAAACCTTAACCACTCTAAACATCGACACCTTTATGTGTGTGTGTATATGTATATATATATATATATATTTATTTGTGTATGTGTGTGAGCACTCAATCCTTGGAAAAGCAAAAATCCTCTGACGTTGGATTCTTTGTTAATGGAATGTGGATTACAGCAAGTAATTAATTTATAACAACTATTGCTGAAAAATACTCAATCAATAGTGAATCCCAATAATAAATAAATAAATAATATTATACAAATTAAAGCTGTTTAAACAAAATGATTACACCCAACACACAGCAATTTCAAGATTCGAATTTAAATTTCTACGCCCACTTCTACACAATCTCCTCCAATTGTCAACACGTTATTATTATTAATATTATTATTATTATTATTAAGGTGAGCAATTTACTATTTTATATATATAAAAATATATACTTCCTTCGTCCCAATAAAGTTGTCTTATTTTTCTATTTTAGTTAGTTTCAAAATAATTTTTTTTTGTTTTTTTATTTAGTAACTGTGGTCTCTACTTTACAACAAAATTATTTTTACTTTTCCAAATTATCTCTAATTATTACTCTAACTTACTTTTAAAATCATTCAAAAAGTAAGGATATTTTAGTCTTTTACCTTCTACTTTATACCAACTTTCAATTAAATACTATTATTCCTTAATTCTTGTGTCCACTTTCAATAAGATATTTTTTTTAGGCAGAGGACGTATTATATTTTTCATAAAATATTTAAAAATAATTTTACATGAAAATACTATAATTCTCAAAACACTATCACAGTTATTAATAATTACCAACAAAAATCTCATAAATTTTAAAATACTAAAAGAATATTCATAGACTATAGTTTTTTTTTTTTTTTCTCATAATTATATATTTGTTTGTTGTAATTCAAAATATCATTTTCATCATTCTCGTCCGTCTACTTAAAAGTATTTACTTTTTATTTTAGTAAAAATAATTATATACTAATACCAAAATATTCTTAACCTTTATTTAAATTACATATATACCATTACATATACAATTACTTTGTACGTTACAAGATCTTATGCGTTAGGCTGCGATGGCATTATGGGTCTTTTTATAAGTTTTAGATTCAATTTTTACTATTAATAAAAAAAAAAAATTTCTCTTAGAAAATATCAAATAAAATATTAAATTGTAAATTAATTTTACATTAAAAAGATCACATCAATATCAATTTATATCATATTAAATAATAATTTTAATTTAATCTAAAATATTCTTCTAAACTTCATAGGTACCCAACTCTCACACTTACAAACGAAGAAATACAAAACCATTAGGGTGTTTTGTTGTCAAGTATGAAAAATTGGGAAAATATTACAGAAAATAAATATTTTGTGTTTTCTTTTCTTTTATTTTATTTTCTTTTATTGTTAGTATATATATTTTATTTTTCTTATACCATGTTCCATAAATTTTTATATTGTTCGATTATAAATTTTAAAATTTATATTAGTACCCTTCTATTTAATCAACTATGGGTTAAAGTTTTTAATCAAGCAATAGCCATGATATTATTCAATAGCAAATATATGTCTACCAAAATAACACAATATAGATTTTATTAAATATGTGACAAAGATCACACACTGATTCAGTATAAAAGATAGGATAATATCGAGTAAATGTATATATACTTTAGTGAAAAGTTTCTCAAATCCTTTAATTTTTTCGTAGATTTGTTTTTATTTTATTTTTTAATATATATAAGTATATATCAATAAGAAAATATTTCTTAGTGGGTTTGGCAAAGGAACAAAAATTGTCTGAGAATTCAATGTTTGGTAGTTTACAACAAATCCTGGAGACTTTTTATTAAAGTTGAATTTATAATTTAATAATGTCAATGTTTGTTGGATATTTTTTATTATTATTTTATTATTATTATTATTATTATTATTATTATTATTATTATTTTTATAACGTGATAACTCGCAATCTCTATCCTTCGGGTGCGCTCTGGAATTTTCAGCCGAATCTAATACTCTTCGTAATTTTTATTTTTAAATTTATATATAATGTTCCAAGTAAACAATTAAATTAAAACATTTTTTTTAACGGCAAGGATAGGAGTGTGTGCTATTCACCACACACACATGATTAATTAAAGGTGTTGAGAAATTAAAGAAATTACAGACTTTGATAAATCTGACTTGCTATTAGTTGGATAAATTAATTCTACCCATCTATACATATATATATATATATATGATTAATTATCCTTAATTAAATAGCATATTAGTATAATGAATCAATACCAATTTAATATATTATAGTTGTAATACCCCCGGAGTTGAATAGTGATATGAGTTGCGGAGGATTTAATACCCCTGAGGTTGAATAAGAGGTTAAATGGATTGAATAGACAACTCATGTCTCGGAAGCATTGTTGAGAAAACTTTAGAGTTAAACGTGCGAGTGAGGACAAAAACACGTCACGAAGGACTTATATTGATATGTGAGAAGCCAGTCTACGATTCTGACACGTTCGGATTCGCATGACTTGCTGAACGGAGTGTCACAATTGTAATTATGTGATTCGATTAGATAAAACATTAATATTATCTATCTTAATTACCCAAAGTAAAGAGACACCCTCAAAGTATTCCATTAGAATATATTAGACCCCAAAATTATTATTATTATTATTATTATTATTATTATTATTATTATCCATCCTAAAAATTAACAAAGACCATATAAAACACTACAACTTACAAAGATAAAAGTTAATAGTATAATATGAGTTGTTCTTTTATGTTATCTCTTTCTTTTTTTTACTGTTAATATTTTATTTTTTCTTCAAAAATATTTTAACTAACAAATATTTTTTACACAAAATGTACATATCATAAAATTATTTTTACTTAAAAAACATGAAAATATAAAAATAAAAATAAGAATACAAAAGACGAGAGCTTATAAGACAAATTTTTTCCCCAAAAGTCCAAAAGCACAACTCTCCCCTAACCCCACTCAACTAATTAAGTGATAAATATAGGAAGGTGGTACGATTTAATTAATTATTTAATTACAATATACTTACACACCAACTTTACAATATTGAATTCCTCAAAAGACATGTTTGCTTTTTCTTTTTTTGTTGATTACTTATATATATTGCTTCCATATTCTAAAAAGCCACACTTATTCATATATATATATATATATATATATATAGTGATCATAGGCTATCTTTTTGTTCACAAACAAGACATTCCATAGATAAAAGGGTTGGTGCATTTAGTGTACAAAAACACAAAACAATGGGGAGAGATTGGAAAGCAATGCAAGAAAGATTCGATGAGAGAATTTCAAAGGGCAAATTTGGGAGGTTCTTCAAGTTGGAGGCTAGAAAAACTTCCTTCATGATGGAGCTCCGGGCAGCGACCGCCACGTTCGTCACCATGGCTTACATTGTCTCCGTAAACGCCACCATCTTGGCGGATTCTGGTGGAACATGCTCTGTTGCTGATTGTACAGGATCTGTCGATCCAGAATGCATTGTCAAAGAAAATGTTGGGTATCAAAGTTGTCTTGCTAGAATTAAGAGTGACCTTATAGTCGCCACGGCTTTGTCCTCGATGATTGGCTCGGTGGCTATGGGCTTGCTGGCGAACCTCCCGTTCGGGCTTGCTCCCGGGATGGGAGCTAACGCTTATTTGGCCTACAATTTGGTGGGCTTCCATGGGACCGGGCCCATGTCCTACAAGACTGCCATGGCGGTTGTGTTAGTTGAAGGGTGTGCTTTTCTTGGCATTGCGGTTCTTGGGCTTCGTGCAAAGTTGGCCCGGCTCATACCGAGCTCGGTCCGGCTTGCAAGCGCCGCTGGAATTGGTTTGTTTATTGCATTTGTGGGGTTGCAAGCTCACCAAGGTGTGGGCCTAGTGGGCCCTGATCCGGCTACATTGGTGACACTTACGGCTTGTAAGAGTACGAATATTGACACCGGCGCATGCATCGGAGGAAAAATGCAAAGCCCGACGTTTTGGCTCGGCACGGTGGGCTTTCTTATAATGTGTTTTGGGATAATGAAAAATGTCAAAGGGAGTATGATATATGGCATGGTTTTTGTAACCCTAATTTCATGGTTTAGGGGCACTTCAGTCACAATTTTTCCTCATACACCACTTGGAGAATCAACCTATAATTATTTCAAGAATGTTGTAGATTTTCATAAGATTGAGTCCACTCTTGGGGCTATTAGCTTTACTCATTTCAACAATGGTCAAGTTTGGGTAGCTTTAGTCACATTGCTATACGTCGACGTGCTCGCCACGACCGGCACATTGTACACTTTGGCAGAAGTCGGAGGCTTTATAGACGAAAAGGGTGTCTTCGAGGGGGAATACATTGCCTACATGGTCGATGCAGGTACAACTATTGTAGGTTCCGCGCTTGGGGTTTCCCCAATCGCTACATTTGTTGAATCAACGGCCGGGATCAAAGAGGGAGGCAGGACAGGGTTAACGGCCGTGATCATTGGAGTGTACTTCGGCTTGTCTATATTTTTTACGCCTATTCTCACAAGTGTTCCTCCATGGGCGATAGGCCCATCCCTCGTGATGGTAGGAGTGTTGATGATGAAAGTGGTGAAGAACATCGATTGGGACAATGTCAAGGAGGCGGCGCCCGCATTTGTGACCATAGCCCTAATGCCATTGACGTATTCTATCGCGAATGGTATCATAGGAGGGATAGGGACCTACATTGCGCTCGAGTTGTATGAACGGATCGTGGGATGGGTCAAATGGCTAATCGAGATGAAAGGTATGGTGGTGAAAGAGCAAAACCAAGTGTCGGCAACGAACATCGCATATTCTAACCATGAGAATGTTTAAGATGTTCGAGAAAAGATTGCAAATATGAATCCTAGACCTTAGTAGATGCTAAGATAGGTTCATTTCGACATGGTGATGTTCATAATGTAATATTAGAGGTTGGGAATGCACAAGTCACCGTGAGATGGTCTAATGGTGTTGGCAAAAATGAATGACCTCTCAAGGGCATTTGTGCATTTTCTTCTTTACTACTTTCTTGAAATATTTTAGGAATCACTTGTCAATGGTATGCCATTTTTCTTTTAGATATGTTTAGTTTGTATTTTAATTCAAATTTTTTACTACTCAATTTATATGATTCTTGATGAAAATATACTTATTTTATCTAATAAAAAATCACATCAGAATATTATTTAAATAAAAAAAAACTAAAATTCAAACACACAAAAAAAAAAGTATTTATATTAATATTATTATTCTTGATGTTATTGTTGTTTTGGTCTTAATTATTCACTAATTTGTTTATTTTATATATTTTGTAACTTCTTTAATTATTCATCCCACTTAAACCCTTAAAAATACTTATATTGTCAAATATTTATTTCTTATATAAAATATCAAATCAAAAATTATTTAAAGTAAAATATCAAAACAATAAATACAATATAATAATAATAACAAAAATCATGGTCCAATATCTTTTTTTTTTTTTTGGATTTGTTACTTATGTAATCTCTCGATTTTTATCAAAAACAAATTTTCACATAAACATTTCTTTAAATATACAGTATTATAATCGATAACTATTTTACATCAAAAATATTATAATGTATAAAGTTTTAACTTTAAAATAAATAAATTGAACAAAATATGAAAGTGTATATATATACAGCTTACTTTGTTCACCTATTCTATTTTTGAGTAACAAGATTCTTCATAAATAATATAAAAACATATTATATATTAACATAATATATAATATTATACTCTACTCAATCATAAAAAATCAACAATTTAACGGACAATATTATTATTTATATTAGTGATACAATTCTTTATACCTAATATAAAAAGAAAACATATTAATCCAAAAACACAAGTGAAAACAATATATTCTACATTGTAATTCATGTTGAAATATTCAAGCCTAAATATTTTGATTTGAAATAATATAAAACAACATGTACTATTTGTTTAAATAATATTTTAATATGATATTTTATAAAAAAAAATAATATATTTTTATTAAAAAGTTTATGAGATGAATAATATTGAATTCGATTTAAAATCACAACTAAACACACTTTTTTGAAACCTTTGCACTTAATTTAAAAAAATAAATATCATGTCAAATATATTTTTTAAACAATTACATTAAATACCTTTTTTTTCCCACTAATTTTAAAAATTTCAAAATTACAAAACTTTGAAAACTTCTATTTATACAAAGCTTAATCATATTCCTATTCTAATACACCTTCTATCCCAATTTAAAGCACCTTTTATACCATTTTTGTCCAGTCTCACTTCAAAATATCTCTTTCATATTTCAGAAAAAATACTCATATACTAATATGATAATACTCTTAACTTTTACTTAAATTACAAATATATTATTACACATACAATTATTTTATATACAAAGTCAAAGAACAAAAATATAAAAAACTCTTATATACTTCTACTAACTAATAAAGTACTATTACTTCTTAATCTATTACAAAATTCCAAAAGACCCATTTGATTTCAGATGGAGAGAATATATTTTTTTCCCTAGTAACTTAAAATAGAATTTATAAGTAACATAACTAATATATTAAAGATACACAATGTGACAGAGTAATTTAAGAAGGTATACTACTTTATGATTTTCGAAGGTACACTGCTTTATGGGCTGATGTGTTTTTCCACGATGATTGGGCTTTGAACAGTTCTATTTTATCTTGTTGAAGTTTCACTGTATTGAATCTACAATATACTATTAAACACTTATAAATATATTAATAGGGTAAATTATATAATACTCCCTCCGTCTAAAAAAAGATGCAACATTTATTTTGGGCACGAGTTTTTAAGTGGATAGTATTAAGTAGGATAATTTAGAAATTATGTGATGTAACGGAGAGAGAAATGTATATTTTATTTTTTTATTTGGGTGATCTGATGGGATAAAGTGTGCGGCAGAGATTAAGTATAATTAATATTTCCTATTTTGAAAATGTTGCAAGATGTTTGAGAGATACCAAAAAGGAAATGTTTCACGATATTTGGGACGGAGGGAGTACCTTATTTTATTTTAGTAAAAATGCATAAAAAAAATCATATTTTTCATTATTTACGTAAAATCTCCCTTGTGTTAATGTAAAATTTGCACAAAATACCGTCCTTGTCCAAAATTGATATTTGGTTCTAAATAAAGACCTAAATTACGCAAATTTTATTTATTTATTTATTATTTTATTCAAAAAAATTATTTAAAATATTTTACAATTTTTTATTTGTATAGAACTTGCGTAATTTAGGTCTTTATTTAGAACCAAATATCAGTTTTGGACAAGGAGGGTGTTTCGTGCAAATTTTACATTAACACAGGGGGTTTCGCACAATAAATAAAACACATGGGTATTTTATGCATTTTTACGAAAACACAAGAAGGTATTATATAATTTACCCTATATTAACATTAAAATACACTAACAACAAATTTTTTTAACACTTTAAAGTACCATGCCTTACATTTTTTATTTTGTTTCTTATATCCTTCCTAACCATCTTCATGTACATTTGCCATTGCTACATTCTCCTCAACATCCAACGCTACTACCACCGCTGCCTCTAGATCCACCGCCCTTGGGCCACTTCCTTGCCGTAATCGTTGGGGTGCAAATCAAAGTCCCACACTGGAAGATGTTAAGAAAATTTCACATTTTATAAGTCACAGACGAACTCCACTAATATGAGGTCTTCTGGAGTAAGTCCAAAAACAACTCATCGTGAACTAAGCCCAAAGCAGACAATATCATATTGGCGTTGAGTTGACCCAGTCTCAACAATAGCCACCAATAAGAACACATAATCAATCAAGAAAAAAATAGCACAAATGCTTCCGACGAGACGAAGTGAATCTTTGTCATCGAACAACAAGAATTGATCATCCTCATTGTCCAACGACGACAACAACAACAACCCGTCTTCCCCCAAGTGTCGGGAAACAGAGTCTCAATTGCTTCTGCAAATTAATGTCGTTGATGGTCCGGTTCTATTGTTTAAAACGTCAATACATCTGAGTCGTCGTTCGATGATCATATACATAATATATAGTTATTTAAGTTGATGAAAAGATTATTCTTACTTATTATGTAAAGTAGGCAAGCTTAAATCAAAGGGAAGAGGAGAAATGTAATATTAGAACTAATACCGAGTTTGCCCGACCTACTTACCAGGTCAAGGAATTCTAAATGTCTTCAGGTCTTGTTTGTCACATATGATTTGTCTGGCTTTACTTTTTTTGTAAGACCTACTTTGCAGGCTATTAAGTACGACGGATGGTCTAGTTGCAGGTTCCACGTTATCTAAAAAAAAAAGAAAAAAAAATAATGATTGTGAATAATACTTACCTCATAAAAAGTTAATATTTTATATAAATATGAATTTAATATATTATACTCCATCCGTCATAACTCTTTTGGTTAATGTCATGGTATTTTAAACAAAGTAGGTTAGTAATTTATTAATAATAAGTTATGATATTACTTTATTATTTTTTATATGAATATTATTATTGGTATTTTAAATATTTTTAGAATTATATCTCAATAATAAAATTTTATATAATACAAATACATAAAAAAAAAATTATTTATTTATAATTAACTTAAAACTAATTTTACAAAAAATGAAAAATTCTAAATATAGATAATAATATTTGTTTATTGGGGAGATATATAAATAAAAGGGTTTTGAATGGACCCTACACGTAAGAAATTAATAATTTAATCAAATTAATTTATATTTGTTAAGTGTTTAAGATAAATAAATTTACTAAAAATAAAAATTGACATATTCTATGAGAATGACAAAATGAAATGGGATCATTTGGACGGGAGGGAGTATAAGTTCGGTGAACATATAGTTCAAATATTTAAATTTTTCAATATAATAAACTAATTTATACATTTATAAAAAAAATGAATCATATAAATAATATATTTCTTCCATTCCATATAAAGTGTTTATTTATTTATTTATTTTTTCGTAATTATTTTTTTTATTTTTTTGAAAATATAATTATACACTTTAATCAAATTTTAAAATTTATAATTTATAATTTTTCAATCTTAATTAAACTATTTAGTTATGTTAATCTTAATTTATAATTATTTTTACTAATGCACTTCTTAATTAATTACTAATTATATTTTACCTACGTTCTTATATCTACACCAACATTGAAAGTTTTAATGGCACGGAGGGAATATTTAAGAATGACAATATACACATGTAGCATATGTACAAAATTTGTTATTACAATATATATGACAAAGTAAAGCAAAATGCATGAATGGAAATATGAATATTATTTTCATAATCCTTATGATCTTTTATTATTATTCAATGCATTTTATTACATATATGATATTATATATATCTTGATTTACTTTATTTTCTTATTTAGTAAATTTTATTTCATGTATAAATCCATCCACACTTCTATCTATCTATCTATCTATCTATATATCTATATATATATATAGATACAACACAACTTGGTATATTGTAAAGAAGTCAAGAGAGCTAAGATGAGTTCTTCGAAGGCAGTATTTTTGTCAATAATTATGCTAATTCTTTTGGGTAATTTCTCATATATTCAATAAATATATATATATATATATAATTGAAGGTTGATATATAACTATATGGATATGCAGGTTGGCCTTGGGAGAATTTTGAAGGTGGTAATAACGTTGCATGGGCACTTTATCTTCGTCCATGTAATAGCGATGCCGATTGTCAATATGCAGTGCCGCACTCTAGAGACGTTTGTCCTCATAAAGTTTGTGTTTTGGGCCACTGTCGTTGTCAAAGCGCTAACGGCAATACCAATACTTTTTTACGGAACAATATATACTAATTTTTCATGAACAAACTAGATTATTCATATATTATCGTAATTATGGATAAATAAAGTTCGTAGGATGTTTACGTTCAAGTGATTCTCTCTCGGTATATTATATATGAATATACACTACAAGAAATTATCAATTTTGTAACGAGGTTTTTTCGTTCCTAAATTCACTTTTTCCGTTACTAATGATATTAGAGACGGAATTAGAGATGGAATTACGTTTGCTACGTGAATTTTAGGAACGGAATTCCGTTACAAATATACTATTTTTTTTTTTGTAGTGATAGTCTCTTACTATTAATATATTTTATATTTATGTTACTTTTTATTTTCTTTTACTATTTTCACTTAAGATTTCAAATGATATAACTTATTTATTATTTTCACATAAAATATTTGGAAGTTTAAGATTAACGAGAAGATATATATATATATATGTATAAAAGAAAAGAAAATTACATATAAACACTAAAACATACCGAAAATTAATAGTCACTTTCATGATATATACTGTGTAATTATATTAAAAAACAATAAATTGATGGAATTTTTAGTTATATAGTTACCATATCAATAATTGATTTAAATGTATTATTAACTTTAAATTTTAAAAATTAAAATTAAAATAATTGATGGATAATTGACGAAATTCAAGAAATCATATGCAAACACTAAAAATTATATCTTAGATAGATTTAATAATTTTTAATATTTAATAGATAAAGATTAAATTTTTGTTTAAAATTTATGATGATTTATTAAATAAATTTACAACTAATAATATTTATATAGTTATAAGTATTAAAATAAACAAGAATAAATATTTTAAAACAGATAATAGTAGTTGTTAGCTTACAGATGGTTATGAGGCAGGTGAATCACAACCTTCAAAATATATGTATCTATTTAATAAACAAAAAATAAAATTATTATTTTTTATTAATTTATCTTTTTTAATTTTTTATTTCATACTGTATAAAATAATAATATTATTGTAAGTTTATTGATTTACATTTTTTAACCTTTATTTATTTTTCTTGTAATAAAAAATATTAAATTTTATATAATTTGCCGAATTTTTCATTAAAATTTCAATATACAAAATTTTTGTCTATCGCACTCAAATTTCATTCATATTATATGGTAAAATAAATAATACATTAATATTAAAATATTTTTAATTATTATATAAATTATAAATATATTACTATTATATATACAATTAATTTTTACATAACTGTCAAAAATATTAAAATTATTTTAAAACACTTCACACAAATTAATTAAATAATATTATTTTTAAATATAATACAAAAAACAAAAAAAATATTTAAAGTGGAATATATATTTAATTTTTTTAATTATATATTAATAATTAGTTTTAGAAAAATCAACAATACTACTTATCAAAAATCATAAAATAATACCACAATCCCTATCATTAGCAAAACGTGCTATTGAAATAAGAATTATTTCCTCCGTTACAGGTTTTAATAAAAGTGAATAATAATTGTTAATTTTTTTTTTATAGTAAAAAATAGTACAAAAATAAAATAATTTTTTACTTAAAAAAGAATAAGAATATTTTCCAATGAGTATAGATATGAACGGAAGGAATATTTTATTTTATTTTTATTTTTTAAAAGAAATAACAATTATTTTTAAAATATTAAAGAGCTATAGACCTTTTGTGCAATTATTTCCAACACTCTTTTTCTTCCCCAAAACTCCATGTTGACTCACAGTTTGGTCAATCCTCATTCAGATCTAAACTGGTAGAGTTTCTGCTCCATCGTCCCTTCTTTTACACTGCAAACCGGACCGGTTCAAGAACATCGTCGAGTTCTTCACCGCCGCGATCTCAGCCGTCAGATACATCGATCTGAGCTAGCATCCCAATCCAGACTGTGGTACAGCTATTATTTAGCAACAAATATTGATTTCTTATTATTATTGTTACTGCTCCATAATTTTGAAAGAGTTTTTTAATCCTACAGAGTATTAATGGTGCCTAAAATTCATGTCTCTAAATTTATATATTTTTTTCAGAAAAAACGTTTAATTAAAATTTATGGTAGCTGCAGATTTTGTCTTCTTCAGGTGCCTGTAGCAGTAATGTTTGGGATTTAATTAGAGATGGCTATTGCTGCTTATGCGTCAGTGGTTTCTCTTACCCACATCATCGACAATGTTCATTACCGTGCTCAGCATTCTCTCATTCATGTGGACAAAAGACATATTGAATCTCTTCAAGACAATGCCAATTGCTTGTTGAAATTTGTGGAGATTAATTCAAGAAGAAAGGACCAAAAGATAGAAGCTCTGTGGCCACAAATATCTAAACTTTGTTTTGAGGCAGAAGATATTTTCGACTTACATGTAACCAGTCAGCTTGAGATTGCTTCTCAGGGAGAAAATGGTGATATGGGCCAGAAAGCTTTCTGTGAAGATCTGGACAGCATAATCGAAAAGATTGACATAATCAAGAGAGAGTTGTCGATGGTCGAAGAGGTAGGGGATGATCAAGTCCAAGTTGAAAAACAAAGAAGGAGTTCTGATGGTATTGGTGGTTCTTCAACTGAGGCTTCTTCGAATGGAAAGAATACTATAGTGGGACTTGATGAGGATGTGGTGAAGATTAAGGGTGAACTGGCTAGAGATGAGGCGAACCTTCAAATTGTTCCGATCGTTGGGATGGGAGGTATTGGCAAGACTACACTTGCTAGAAAAGTTTATGAAGATAAATACGTGCTTGAGCGCTTTGATGTGCGCATTTGGCTTACGATTTCTCAGGAGTATAGCATGGAAGAGATCCTTCGTGGTCTTATAGATAATGGGATCGTTGAAATGAATGGTGGAAATATTGATGGACCTGGAGAAGCATTGTATAAGAAGTTGTATGGCAGAAGATACTTGATTGTTATGGATGACATATGGAGTTTGGAAGCTTGGTATGATTTGAGGAGGTTCTTTCCAAATAATGGAAATGGAAGTCGGATTATGATGACCACTAGGATTGTCAATGTTGCTGGTTCTTTAGGCTCACACAACCCTCATTCGATGGCATTTCTAAATGGGAGAAAGAGTTGGATTTTGTTTTGTCAAACTATATTTGGAGAAGATGATTGTCAAAATCCAGAGTTGGCGAAAATTGGAAGGAGAATCGTAAAAAGTTGCCAGGGACTTCCGTTGGAAATTATTGTTGTAGGGGGGCTTCTTGCAAAGTCTGGCACGAGGAAAGATTTTTGGCAATCAGTCGCGGAAAATGTAAGTTCTTTTGGTAATGCAAGTGATGGCGAACATTGCTTGAAGATATTACTTTTGAGCTATAATAATCTGCCTTTGTATCTCAAGCCGTGTTTCCTCTATATGAGAATTTTTCAAGAAGATGCTGTAATTAATGTCTCCGGACTAATAAGATTGTGGGTTTGACGAGGGTTTCATAAAAAAAGGCGAAGATCAAAGTTTGGAAGACCTTGCCAGGGGATACTTGAAAGATCTTGTTGATAGGAATCTAATATCTGTTCGCGAACACGGATCAATAAATAAGAAAATAGAAACATGTGGCATTCATGATCTTCTACGGGATCTTTGCTTAAGTGAATCTAGCCGAGAGCGATTTAGACACTCGTCAAAGTCGCATAGGAATCCACTTGTTTGTGGTGCATGTAGTGCGACTTATTCAAGTATCGATAATCCAAGATCTATCAAGGTCATGGATATACTTGTGCAACACACTAAAACTCGCAGCGTGGCCGTGGAATTTTTTGTTTGTCAAAAATCAAAATGTCCTTCATCAGCACTACATTTGCTATGGAACCTTCAAACATTGTCATTTCGGCGGTCTTTTCGTTTCAATACTTTCGTAGATTTACCATATGAAATCTGGAAGTTGCCGCAACTTAGAGTTATTGAAGGCAAGCGGGTGGCGCTACATTCCCCGTCAGCTGAAGAGAAAGATTTCTTCATCCTGAAGAACCTACACACCCTTTGCGATGCATGGAATTTTGAGCTTACTGATGAAATTGTCCATGGAATTCCTAATTTGAAGCAACTGAAAAGTAAGTATCATCATAAGCATATTAGAGGTTCGAATGCTTTGTTAAGCAATCTTGCGCGATTCAATGTACTCGAATCATTACATCTCAAAGATGCTGAATGGCAATATGTTTCTCTCCCGAATTCACTCAAAACCTTGAAACTGAAGAGATGCAGAATTCCATGGAGTTCAATGTGGATGATTGGTTCATTACAAAATCTTGAGGATCTTGAGCTGAGGGATACCACAGAAGGGTCCGAATGGAATCCAAATGAAGGAGAATTTCTTCGATTAAAAGCCTTGACCATTTCTGGTAGTTTTCTACGACAATGGCAAGCTGATCATCATCACTATCCTAATCTTGAGGTGCTTGTACTTGAAGGGCTATGGGCATTGGAAAAGATTCCTTCGGATATTGGAGATATCGCGACGCTACAGACAATTATGTTGAGACAATGCTGTGATTCTTCTATGAAATCGGCATTCCTAATATGGGAAGAACAAGAAAGCATGGGAAATGATACCCTCAAGATTCTTGTCGAACATCAATATAGGGACTACTCAATCAGCGAGTTCATGGCACTCCCAACCGAAGATGACGACAGTGATACCTATGGTACTTTAGATGGATAAATATCTCATTTCATTGAAGCTATTGAAAAATTTTGAAACACAGTTTTTGAAGATTCAATTCTTTGCTCAAATGCAGTTGAGACATATTTATTAAGTTTTCTCAGTTTAGGTGTGGATAGTTTATCTACAGCTGAACAACATATATACACTGCTGTTTTATATGTGAAGGATTTGTTTATGTTTTATATATGTGAATAATTTTTTTTAGTTTGGCCGTGACTTCCGCCGGTAATTGTTAGCATTTGTCGGCCCAAGGTAATTTGAGGGCCATTTGGATTCGCTTAAAAATAAGCAGAAGTCAAAAGCAAAAGCAAAATGAGAAGCACAAGCGAAAATCAGTTCGATTTTGTATTTGGATAAATTATTATAAAAGCAAACTTTTTGTAAAAAACTGTTTGGAACGTTGTAGAGTTGAAAGTGTTTTTAACTGTTAAAATTACTCACAATGATGCTATATTAATATAGTAGGATTGTTCTATAACATTTTTATAATTTATTTTAAGTTTTATTAATTATATTTAAAGATTTTAAATTAAAATATAAAAATATAATTTTAAAATTTGATTATTTATATTTTTTAAAATTTTTATTTAAGAATAATATATCAATTAAAAATAAAATTATAATATAATATTAAATAATTTGTGTTTTATAGATTATTCTAAAATTTCTAATTATATTTAGTAATTTTAGTATAATTAAAAATTTTATATACTCCTATTTAAATTTGAAATAAATTTTAAATTTTAACTGAAGTATAATTATATAAATTAAAAATAATAATATAATTATATTTTTTTAATTTTTATAGAAATATAATATAGAAATTTATGATTATTATTATTATTATTATTATTATTATTATTAAGAATAAAACAATAACTTTAATTGAAAAGTGCTTTTATTTATTTCAAAAGCTACCAAATGCAAACAAGTACAAAGTGCTTCTTTCAGAAAGCAGAAGCTAGCTCCTACCATACGTGAATCCAAACGGGCGTCAGTTGTTAGTATTTGATTTTGAAAGGGGAAGAAAGACAAAAACAAACGAAATGTATCCCACGTAAGAAACACAACATACCTTATCCACCCTTATGTTGTATTGTTGCCCACCCGTAGTAAAAAGAGAATTGGACTAAGAGCTTGGGCTGGGCTAATGGTTTGGACCTAAAAAAGGTCGGTGTCCTTTTTTTTTTTTTTTTACGCTTTCGTTCTAATTAGGTTTGTGGAATCTCCTATTCTATTTTTTTGATTCGTTCTATTCCGGGGGAGATTGGTGGGCTGATTTCGCTTCAAGAAAATCGCATCCTATGCGAGGCTTGGATTAGATCTCAATTATGTGTTATCATATTTGCAATTTTTTTGTGTTTCGCTTTCATCATATCTCAAATTCGATTAAAATTTTTTTAACAATCTTGAAGCAAATTCTTCGAACCTGAGATGGCTGACGAAATTTCCCAGATCCACGATCAAATCTTGAGTGCCCAGAACCTACTTGATGACGAAGGAATTATTAATGCTATGCGAGATGGGGACGATAAAAATTTGAACAACATTCAAATTGGTGCAGATAGGAAGAAGGTTAACTCCAGTGAGTCTCACACTTTTGTTCTCTCTGTTCCACGATCTCAACCGCCACGGACAACCGATGAAGCTGCGGAAATCGCATCCCAGACGAGGCTCGGATTAGATGTCAATTTTGTATAATATTTGCAATTTTTTTTTTTCGCATCATAACTCAAATTCGTCAAAAATGTTCTAACATGAATTGGCGTGATGCTTAATGGGTGATGGGAAGGTCACCAATCTTTGATATACGATATTGTTTGCTTCAAATTACTTTGGCTTGAAAGACAAATTAAGAGAAAGAAAATGGTGAAGAGACACACCGCTGCGCTGTGTTTCTTATGATAGGTTTTTGAAAATTTTTGTTTGGAATTGATATTAAAATATTGTATAATAGGATATTTTGTGAAAGCACAGAAAATTGTACTCCCTCATTTCCAATTTAAAGGAGCTTATGGAGATTTGTAATAGAGTAAAAAATAATAGTATTTTATTATTTAGTGAAAAGTATATAGGAGTTTTTGACATTTTTCTGAATTGTATGTGTAATGGTATGTTTATAATTTAAGTAAAATAGTTTTGCCCTTTTGACTTTATTTATAAAGTAATTGTATGTGTAATGGTATGTTTGTAATGTAAGTTTAGACGAGTATTTTGGTATTAGTGTATGATTACTTTTTTTAAAATAGAAAAGTGATACTTTGAAGTGGGATATACGAAAATAATAAAAAGAATTCTTTCAATTGGAACAGATGAAGTATTCCATTTGATATGCCAACCAACTTTTGCCGCTTGACCACAAAAATTGTCATGACATAATGTCATCGTAAAGTCTCTCACAACTGTCATCCAGTAGAATGCAATTCTAATGGAACAACGCCTTGACTCAGTGAAAATCTAGCAGCGACTAGAGGAACTGGTGCGTTAGTTGATCAACAACCTTCGTCAGAGAGGACGTGGATCCTCAGAGCGATGAATGAACTAATCATTCCCCTGTCATGTAGAAAATTTTGAAAAGAATGGCAAGGCTTGTACCATGTGTTATTATTTGAAAAATTCTCTTAATACATCGTTACATTAGACTTCTGATATATTTTAGAGTAGAGTTAGACAACTTGCGAGCATTGAACTTAGTAATTTTCTTTTACCTTATTTAATAATGTGAATGTTGAATTAAACCACTTATATGACTTGAAAATGTTAGTGCCCCTTTCGTTTCAATTTTTCCATACTCAGTAAGGCAAACGAACTTCTGCCTATCGAATTTGCTCAAATGAAATTGCATCGAAAAGGGAAATCCTTAAATATGGTTTGAGAAACGATGTAAGAGAAGCGGGGAAGACCTCTTATTAAAGGAACTGAAAAGGCCTATGGTGCGACGAAAATCAAATAAGGTCACGAGCAGACACAATATATGTTTGAAACTCTATGATACATCACGAAATATAATGAGCAATGAAAAAAAAAATTCAGCACCTTTCAGCTGAAGATACCCTTTATAAAAAAAAAAAAAAAAAAAGAGTCCTCGCTAAGCGAGCAAAGTTAATTATGCCTGGATGATTCCGCTCATGTTAAATCACATTGACAAGTTTTGAATGCTTAAGGGTTAATTGCTTATACTTGAAATTCATATTATCCACAACCATGGTGCTGATCTTTTGCAATAGTTGACTGCCTTGAACAGGTTAACTCTTTATTCAGGCGATTGAGTTTGCTCGAGGACGAAAAATAGTTTAGTGTGAGGAGGCTTGATAACTCCAAATAATAGCATATTTTTTGCTTAAAAAACTGTGTATTATTTGATTTTTTATGTGAAAACCATCACAATATCTTAATCATGGCACACTTTATTGATTTGTTTCGCTTTGCATGATTCAGAGCCTATTTGTTGAGATTATTAATATATTTGGCCTTTGTAAGCGATGTTTCTAGCCCGGAATAGCTAAGTGTTGAAAGTCAAGTGACAGGGCTCCGGCTTGGCAAACGACGCTCTTACCACTTGCACCAACATCAGCGATCAGACATCCGCCGTTACAGAGGCGAGATTGGACCATCCCAAGAATTGACGAAGTGTTCATCTCCCAGCTGTCAAGCTATTCTACTACCAGCCAACGATGACAACATCGCTTGAGCTGCGCTAATGCCCTTCAACCATCCACAAAAGTGAGGGACATTTGTGCCCTTACATTCCAAAGCG